CCTATATTTTATCGAATTTTTCGCCACTTCTGAATAGTGTGCCAAGTTTGGTGAGTTTTTGAACGTGTTTAGGGGGTCAAATTAGAGCTCAAAAGAGCAGAAAAGAAATAAAAAAAAAAAAAATAATAATAATTCGAGCAAAAACAATATATCCGAAAACATTAGAACAACATTTATATCATTTTTTGAAAAAGCTCTCGCTTCCCCATGTCACCGTGGGTCATTGGTGAGTGACGGGCGCGTCTGGACCATCTCGCTGGGGTCACCCCTATGACCTCCCATTGACTTCCATTCATTTAGCAGTAGTAAATATGAGCCAGGCCTTGGCTGGGTTCTGGGATACTGCTGTTTCTGCCGGGGCGACCGTGGACATAGTGCATGTCGTCTTGTCACATTCGGACATGCGCACGTCGCTCCCCATCGCTCGCTGAGCGGAAGCAATAGGGCCCTACGCCCAGTCGGGGCTCGGGCCTAATAAAAATCCAGGTGTCACGACACGTGTCATGTGGACGTCGCCTAAATGTGACGGTAAGTCGGTGTTAAACCACACACTCATCAGCTACTGATCCTAATGGTAACCGTTGCCTCCCACAACACTTTTTCTGACACTTGGCCAAACTGACACACAGGTTAGACCATGTGGTCAAATCGGGGATTGTAGCTGCAGTAAATGAACATTGAACATTCACAAAGGGTTTCACAACAGTCGCCCAAAAACACTACGATTCTTGCCTCATTTGCATAAGTCAGTGTCCAGGTCCTCATTAAAACGACCCTGTGTCGTCACGATCAGATGTTGTATTTATTCATTTATGTCTCGAGCCATAAATCTGAACAATCAGATCATTGTATATTTAAATTTTATTCTTCTTATTTTTATATACTTACTTACTATGAACCAGATATTATGTGTTCTTTATAAAGACTGAATTGAACATTATACATCGTGAATAGTGACGGGCAAATGAGTCGGAGCTCCGGAGCACGTCTCGTTCTTTCTGCCTCGGAGCTCGTCTCGCAGCAGCCGCTCACGTGACCAAAGTGTGGAAGTGTCGGTCCCTCCCCTGCTGCTTCGCTCTGCGTGTCGATCGCTTCAGTGTATCGAAGCTTTTCATTGGCTCAGCAAATGTTCCGCTCTACGATCGATTGTGTTCAGAGTGTTCAGCGCACTCCCGTGGTTTAACAAGCACTAAACTGCTACAGTCTAAAAGATGCTGTGGGAAATATTCTGTGTCGATGCTGATTCACCCAATATCTTGTACCTTGGAGTGACAACAGGGTGAAAAACACGTATGACTATCTATAGTTCTATAAAAGACATGTTTTTCTGTACTTTGAGATGCCACGAAGCAGAAAACTGATGTATGTGGACCCCGTGGCATGTACCCACCCATGATAAAGTGCACCGGGTCAGCATTATTGTTCATTTTCTTGCTGTATATGCTAAATCAACAAGTTAATGTTTTGTCAGATGTGTGGTATAAAGCTCCCCCTCATTGTGAGTTGGGCAGAGGCGTCGTTCCAGGGTGGCAGTTGTACTTGGTAATCAACACTGAATCCCTCTCAATGGAAAATGATGAAGTAAAGTGGCCTGTTTCTCGGATCCTTCCATCTTTTGTGCTTCTTTCTAGGACACGCACTGAACCTTCCGAAAAACCCGCACAATGCACCAATATTTCTTAAACATGTTGTGTAGTGAGGAGTATTGTGTGACGTTAGTGGTGATTTTGGCGACTTTTGGCATTTGTTTCATTTTCGATGGCATCTACAATTGGAAAAAAGAGATCCATGGTTTGGGATCACTTTGAACAAGGTCACCTATTTTCTTATTTACAGCTGCTATTTATGTTGCTCTTTACATATTATTTAAAATCATCATTATTTTTGTTATTGTTAGGTTTTCAATTCGTTCAATTTGTCCACTAGAGGTCAGTGTTTCTCCGAGGCCTCAGACACGTCCAACCATTTGAGACGATATTGCGACTGAGGTGTCAATGCTTCACGAGGCTCCATTCACTCATCACTAATCGTGAAAGTGAAACCGTCAAATTTCTGTTTGGATCCTGGAGTGTGGGTTATTGTTTAAACAGGTTAGAGTTCAGTGAAGAGTCTGTCTGTCTGTGTGGAGTTTACATGTTCTTTCTGTGTCTGGATCAACTTCCTCCATTTAAACACCGAGGTACAACCAGGACCTGGCTCAGCTCTGGCTCCACCAAAGTTCAGTCCTTAAAGTTTGTGTAAATCATCTGCAACGTTCAAAACATCACGAAACAATTCACCCACAAACAATAAAAGAACTGAGACGTTGTCTTGAATCAAGGAGTCTGATTTATTAAAACAACAGTGTGCACAATCACAGAACCGCCTCAGCTGTAACGGAACATGCATACAGAGCAGGGGTGGGCAAACGTTTTGGCTCGCGGTCCACAAAAGGTTCTAAAATTTAACGGAAGGGTCGGACCCGGAGCAGATTGATGTAGTGGAGAGAAAAAAATAAAACGGGATATGTAGAAAACCTGTGCTTGAATTTCAATTGAAAGTCATTACAAAGCATCACAACAAAATATCTGTCGTTCAAGTCCCACGGTATTTACTATTTACAGAAATTACTCTTAAAAAATTAAATTAATAAAATACAGCTTTTTTATTACTAACAGTTGCTATTTTAAAGCACTGAAAGTTCTGTTCTCCTTCAGGATCTTATTCAGTTCAATTCATAGCTTTTCTCTGCGCCTTTCAGTCGGGTTGTGTCCAGTTAAACTCCTGTTGCTGTACGCCCTTGGAATGCTTTGTGATCCGGTCTAACGCCCATTACTTTTCAAGGTGCATTGTGGGACATTTTGAGTGCACAACGTTTTCACAAACTGGAGAGTAGGACACTCGTAAAAATGGTGTGACTCCTAAATAGTGCCCTAAGTAGGGAATAGTGTGGACTTTCAGACACAGCCATTGGTCATGTTTTAGAGTTTGGGCAACTCACGAGGCAGAGACATAATATGTGCATTAAACCTGAGAGCTTCTGGTTTTGTGCTGACCACTAAACTATCGTGTGTCCTCTGTGAGTCTAGACCAGAGACACTGAAGAACCATCATATTTCAGTCCAAACCCTGGAAACAGAGGCTTGGTGAACGTGCTGTAGAAGGTGTGAAGGTGAAGCAGTGCACTAGCAGAGTGGAATTTATAGAAGGACAAAACTCCAGCCTCAGAATCCAGAAACACGCCCACTCTGCCAGAGAACACTCTAATTCTGCCAGGGGCCGCGCTAATTCTTCTAGAGGACTGCACCAATCAGAACCGTACACAGCCATATTGCTAAAACTTGGATACGCGTGTCTTAGATCAGTGCGTGTGAGATGAGTGCGTGTTAGATCAGTGCCTGTGAGATGAGTGCGTGTTAGATCAGTGCGTGTGAGATCAGTGCGTGTTAGATCTGTCCGTTTGCCGTTGTGAATGACAGTGTATTGTTCATCATCGATCTCCAGACTCCAGGACTGATCATTGTATCCAAACACCCTCTTCTCTGCCTGGTCCCTCTCTGCTCCGTCTGATCCCTCTGTAACTCACTGCTATAGAAACCCACTCCCCGTTCCACTTCACCTCCCAGTAACAGCGCCCCCTCAGGCCAGTGCAGCTCAGGACCTGATGGAAGTCTGTGAACCTGTCCTCATGACCTGGATACTTCTGCCAGTTCGTCACACATGTCACAGTCCGATGGTCCTCGGACAGAAGCAGATATCTATGAGCTGTGTTTGGGTCCAGAGAAAACTCACAGGAATCTGAAACACACAAATATTTAAAAGTGAGAATATTATTCATAAAACTATAAATGCGTGAATGAAATAAAAACAGACTCACACTTCCTCAGACCTGAGACCATCCAGCGCTCTCCAGCAGGATCCAACCTGAAACACACAAGTTCAGTTTAGACCAGATCACAGACCAGGAACAGGAACCAGACCAGAAACCAGAAACCAAAGACCAGATCAACCATGGACTAGAGAGCAGAACCATGGGTCAGAGACTAGGACCAGGTCAGGAAGAGACCACCAGGTGAGTGTCTGAATGTCCACAGTCCGTGTGGGAAATGTGGTGGATGTGATTTTATTTCACTAAACGGTGTCAAACTGTACCTGCGCTTAAATGTTCTGTGATGTGAGGCACTTGGGGCTTTCAGTAGTAAAAAATTTTTTAAAAAGATTATTTCTCTCTCATCGTCTCTTCTCTCTCTCACCTGACAGACAGCAGGGGGCGCTGGTCCTGTAGAGCGGTCAGGAGCTCGGTGGAGGGTCCTGGATGGTTGTAGCTCAGGTCTAACTCTCTGAGGTGGGAGGCGGCGGAGCTCAGAGCTGAGGCCAGAGCAGCGCCGCCCCTCTCTGAGACCAGACATCCAGACAGCCTAAAGACACAGCATTACACTCATGTGGACACAAGGGGCAGAGTGCATCATGGGAGCATCTCACCTGAGCGTCTCCAGTCTGCAGGGGGCGCTCTCCAGCCCAGAACACAGCAGCTCCACTCCTGAGTCCTGGAGGTCGTTGTGACTGAGATCCAGATGTGTGAGACTGGAGGAGCTGAGGACTGAGGCCAGAGGAGCACAGTTCTGAGGAGACAGACCACAGAAGGACAGTCTGAGGAGACAAGAGGAAACAGTCACTGACCCCATCTGACAATGTCTGTACGGTATCTCCTGGTTTATTCAGCTTTGGCCCAAACTTGAAAAAGGCCAAACTGCTAGGCCTGTTGTCCTTTCCCCAGTACCCATGGAGCTGTTCTGAAACGCACCTGAGAGTCTCCAGTCTGCAGGGGGCGCTCTCCAGTCCATAACACAGCAGCTCCACTCCTAAGTCCTGGAGGTCGTTGTGACTGAGATCCAGATGTGTGAGACTGGAGGAGCTGAGGACTGAGGCCAGAGGAGCACAACTGTGAGGGGACAGACCACAGCCACAAAGACTGAGGACAGAGAGGGACATTAGAGACTAGAACCTCCACACAAGAGTTTAAATACAGTCTGGACTCACAGGGCTTTGGTGGAGGCTTTAATCACTGGCAGCAGACCCAGGAGAGCGTTCTCTGAGCGCTGGTATTTCCTCAGGTCAAACTCCTCCAGGTTTGAGTCTGAGGACAGTAAGATGAAGGACAGAGCCGACCACAGAGCAGGAGACATGTCTGTATCAGAGAGACGTCCTCCTGTCATGTTCTTCTGTATCTCCTGCACCAGACTTTGGTCGTTGAGTTCGTTCAGACAGTGGAGCAGGTTCATTCTTCTCTCTGCAGACAGATCCTCTTCATCCAGCTTCTGTTTGATGTACTTTACTGTCTCCTGATTGGTCCGTTCACTTCCTGTGTGACTCAGCAGACCCTGCAGCAGCCTCTGATTGGTCCGCAGAGACAACCCCAGGAGGAAGCGCAGGAACAGGTCCAGGTGTCCGTTTGGACTCTGTAAGGCCTGGTCCACAGCAGAACGGTAGAAGACTTCAGGGTCTGGACTCTCAGGAGAGTGTGGTGGCTTCAGCAGGTTCCTTCTAAAGATGAAGAAGGTCAGATGGACGTGAAGAGCTGCCAGAAACTCCTGCACAGTCAGATGGATGAAGCAGTAGACCTTGTCCTGGTACAGGCCTGGCTCCTCTCTAAAGACCTGTGTGAACACTCCGGAGTACACTGAGGCCGCTGCAGCGTCCAGCCCACACTCGCTCAGGTCACTCTCGTAGAAGATCAGGTTTCCTTTCTGCAGCTGCTCAAAGGCCAGTTTTCCCAGAGACAGCACCATCTTCCTGGTCTCTAGAGTCCAGTGAAGGTCCTCCCCTGATCCCTGATGATACTTGATGTTCTTGACTTTGGCCTGCACCACCAGGAAGTGGACGTACATCTGTGTGAGAGTCCGGGGCAGCTCTGGTCTGCCTGTTTGTTCCAGAAGTTTCTGTAGAACTGTGGAGAGGATCCAGCAGAAGATCGGGATGTGGCACATGATGTGGAGGCTGCGGACGCTCTTGATGTGGGAGAATGACGGCTGTGGCCTGGTCTCTGAACCTCTTCCTGAAGTACTGCTCCTTCTGTGGGTCAGTGAACCCTCTGACCTCTGTCACCATGGAGACGCACTCAGCAGGGATCTGATTGGCCGCGGCGGGGCGCGTGGTTATCCAGAGGAGAGCGGAGGGAAGCAGGCTCCCCCTGATGAGGTTCACCAGCAGCACGTGCACTGAGGCGGACTCTGTGGGGTCGGTCAGGACCTTGGTTTTGGCGAAGTCCAGAGGAAGTCTGCACTCGTCCAGACCGTCAAAGATGAAGAGCACCTGGAGCTGTTGGAAGCTGCAGAGATGTTTGGATGGACTGAAGAAGTGGTGCAGCAGCTCCACCAGGCTGAACTGTGTGTCTCTGAGCACATTGAGCTCTCTGAAAGTGAACGGGAACAGCAGCTGGAGGTCCTGGTGGGCCCGACCTTCAGCCCAGTCCAGACTGAACTTCTGAGTCAGCACTGTTTTCCCCACGCCGGCCACGCCCTTCGTCAGCACCAATCTGATTGGCTCTGGTGAATGTGGGCGGGGTTTAAAGAGCTCTTCACATGTGATGGTCTCTGGAGCGACAGGTCTCCTGGACGCCGTCTCCATCTGTCTGACCTCATGTTCCTGGTTGACCTCTGAGGCTCCGCCCTCTGTGATGTAGAGCTCTGTGTAGATCTGGTTCAGGGGGGTGGAGTCTCCTGCTTTAGCCACGCCCTCAAACACACGGCTGAACCTCTGCTGCAGATCACGCTTCAGTTTATCTGTGCACACTCCAACATCATCACCTGAAGGAGACAAGAGAAGATGACATGTCTGCTGTGGTCTGTTCCCTCAGGCTTCATGGATCATTGTTCTTACTGTTTTCCAGGCAGTGGGCCAGATGTTCCTGGTCCATCCTCTTCAGGAAGTCCACACTGATGGTCAGAGCCGCCTCTCTGCTCTCCTCCTCCTCAACAGAAAACACACACATATGTTACCTGTTTATGCTTGTTGGGGACGTCACATTGAGTGCCTACAGACACTTGAGTATCCCGGTTATGATCAGGTTTGTTCAGTGTCCTGATTATGTGAGTATCTGTGTAAACACTGATAGTATCTGATACTGTGGCCTGTAGACGCAGTATTCTTATTTATCACCATTAGTGATGAGCATGTGCAAACTGAAGTAACAAAAACAGTAGGAGCATTAACTTTCCCAAACTGAGTCAAACTTCTATTAGGACTTTTAAGTAATAGTATTAATAAATAATTTATTTATTTCATTTATATATAGTAATTGTATATCTATAAGCAAATAAAGCAGTGCACTGTTTAATATAACCACCTTTTACAGTTTTTCTCCGTTGGTTTGGCTCATTTCTTGAAACAGAAATGACATTCTCAAAACAACACAGACAAATCTCCAAACCAACTTTCAGTCGTTCATAACAGAATGACATTTGTCATTGATTTCATCAAATTGCAAATGTCTTAGTGCACGTCTCAAGTGTTTCAGTGCATCTTTGCACATGGTTCTGTACAAGTCGCCTACAGTTTACACAATGAACCCACATTTTGTAAATTTTCCAAATAAATAAATCTTGCTGATCTAAACTGATTAACTGATTCTCAGTCTGATGGTTGTCATCTCCAAAACATGTCAGCATCATTTCATTGTCTGAGTCATCATCTGCACAACAGTCTGTTCATCACATATGAATTTCTTGGAACATTTGATAAATTCATGACAGTCATTTTAAGTCAGGTGAAATTAAAACTATTAGAATTAGAACAAAGGAGGAGTTTCCCACATCTCAGACGACGAGTCAAACATTTTGTAGTTACCTGACAGGTGCTGTCTATGATTGTGAACGCTGCCAAACATGTAGATAAAGAGCTTGGGCAGGGCCAGGACCATTTGCAGTATGAACATGGAGGTACCTCACCAAGTAAATGAACGAGGGAAACTTTCTGCTTGAGCAAGAGAAAGAGAAGGAGGAAGAAGAAGAGGAGGAGAACGATGGCATCCAGGAGAGGGAGGGTGATGACAGTGACCAGGCTAGAGATAATTTTTTCTTTTTTGTTTGTGTTTATATTTGGTATATGTACAGAATACTGTATGCATTTTATTTTTATATACTGATGTATGGAAGTGACTTTATGTGTGTGAATAAAATGGTTAGAGTTTTGTTGGCGGTGTGAGTGCAGTGTGTGTGTGATGTCAAACTTTGGAGGATCTTTTTTTTTTTTTTTCAGTTTTATCCATAATTGTATTGTGTTAGATTGACTCTGCCATAGAGACAAAACATCATGTCATTTTAACCTGCAGTGACACAAGACCAAAGGGAAGATGTTTTTTAAGAGAAGGAGTTTAGTTCTGACACATAAATAACGACACGTAAATTGTTTTGGGAGCAGTGTTGTGGAGTAACAGATTACATGTACCGGAGTTACGTAATCAGAGTACAAATTATGAGTAACTGTATTCAGTTACAGTTACTGTTTCAGTGAGTGGTAATTGGATTACAGTTACTTTGTTAAAATAAATGGATTACACAGCGGTATTTTCTATTTTCACATTTTGGGCTAGTTCCTTTTTTTTTTCTCTGTAATTCCACTCAATGCCGGACACTAAACCAAGTCCAAACCAGGTCTAAAACCAAGTCTAAACTAGGTCTAAACCAGGACTAAACAGGATTTAACAGGACTAAATCCTGCTGTGTGGACCACGTCTCCTCTTCTTCTATCAATAATATTTTATATTTGGTTGAGTAAAGTCTGGGCTTTTCATTTTCTTTTAGCAGACAAAACATTTTTTGTGAAGATATCCTTGTCTTTGTTTCTCTACAGCAAATCAAGTAATCCAAAGTATTCAGATTACATTATTCACTTTAAGTAATTTAATGGATTACGTTACAAACTACATTTTGGGGGATGTAATCTGTAATCTGTAGGGGAATACAATTTAAAAGTCACCTTCCCAACACTGTTTGGGAGAGATCTGAGCTTTTGCAGATGATCTATGGTGTTGTGCTGAACCATCCAGAAAGAATCTGGTTTTGAAGCCTGTGTGAACAGTTTTAGGACAGATATGAGCTTTTGCTGTTGAGCTGTAATGTTGCACAAAACTATCAGACTGTTTGGCCAAATGATCTTGTAGTTTTAAAAATGTAATTTCTGTTTCAAGAAATGAGCCAAACCAACAGAGAAAAACTGTAACACAAGACTCACTTCAGTGCCTTCAGTGTGTTTGTGCTGCTCTTGGACTAAACTCATGCTGTGAGACTGTTGTATTTTTCAACTGTTAAAAACGACTTTTACTGAATCTGTTACAGAGCTCCACAATCCTGTGTCCTTATTTGTCTATTTTGTTGCTAAAACCCATTAAAAAGCCTGAAGTTATCAAAGTTGTTGTGTGTTTAGCTTCTTGCCCTATCGGTGCCATATAAACCAGTCTGTAAATGTCCAGGATACTTCAGCAGGGACATGACTATCCTGTACCTGTAAGGCTCATAACCGGGATCCTCGTGATTTTACATGCACACGAGTGTCCTGGAGGTGTTAGCGTGACAGGTGAGTAGAGTGAGTGACAGGTGTTATAGAGTGACAGGTGTTATAGAGTGACAGGTGAAAACAAACCTGGAAAATGTGTTCGAGCATGTGACCGGAGAGAGACAGAGGACCCTCGTCTCTGTGGACACAAAGGAACAAGACTGAGACCTGAGACAAGAGACACAAGACTGAGAGTGTAGACTGTGGACTGAAGGACCAAAGAGCGCTCACATGCACACCCACAAGCACACTCACGTGCACGTGGCACTTGTGTGACACTGCTGTCCTCACCTCAGACTGGATCCTTTAAACTCCATAGGCAGATCTTTGGAACGGTCACTGCTCAGGGACTCACAGCCTCGTCCTGGTTCTGGGTCAGATCCTTGTCCTGTTTCTGGTCCTGGTTCTTTCATGTTTCTGTACAGACAGAGGTCAGGTTTTAGAGCATTCACTTTAAGCACTTTAAGTTTTTCATCTCTTTGTGGAGTGTCCAGTGTCCTCTGACAGAGACAGGACTGACCTGAGTCCAGTGGATCCTTTAAACTCCACAGGCAGATCTTTGGAGTGGTCACTGCTCAGGGACTCACAGTCCAGGTTGGATCCAGGTCCAGATCCGGGGTCTGGTCTGAGTCCGGGTCTTATTTTCTTTTCCCTGCAGACAGAATCCCGGAGCCCATCAGACCGGAGCAGTGGCCCCAATCAAACAAATGTTTGTATTAAATATTATATATAATAGAACATATTAGAGTGTATATTATTCTTATTCTTATTAACCTCCTGATTCTGTTTTGTTAAATTCAAACTAAACTCTGAGCTCTGGATCAGGAAGTGCTCCGTCTGCTCCAGTCGACACTCGTACATTTCATTCTGATAAATGTGACAGAAACAGGACTGACCTGAGTCCAGTAGGTCCTTTAAACTCCACAGGCAGGTCTTTGGAGCGGTCACTGCTCAGGGACTCACAGTCCAGGTTAGATCCTGGTCCAGATCCTGGTCCTGGGTCTGGTTCGAGTCTGGGTTCTAAGTTTTCCATTTTCCATAAAACAAAAACAGACCTGTAGACTCTTAGTGTAGAACAGAGACCATAGTGTCAGATACAATTTAGTCCAGATTAAGTCCTGATTTAGTCCTAGTTCAGACCTGGTTTAGTTCTGGTTTAGTCCGTGTATAGTTGTATCCAGTGTATAAAGGTGGAATAAAAGAATAGTGAAGTTCTAGTTGGACCGGTCTGTGTTCATTTTTAGTGAGTCATGTGACAGGCCCTGACACACATCTGTGTCAGATCCACACTTTCACTTCTACACACTTTCACTCACACTTTGTTCGATGATGAAATTTGTGTTGAATAAATAACTTTTATGGCTCATTAAAGACACAAACTACTAAAGTGTTAAATTCTGCTGTTTATTTATTGCAGTTTGGAACCATATTGTATGTTTAGAATAGTTGTTTGAACATTTTGCTTTATTGAAATAGTTTAAAAATGATCGTTTATTGTCTGTACTATCATCAACAATATCGTCCTACACAATATGTTTGTAACAGTCTAACTTCTACAAGTTTATTTGTCTTCTAAGATCCAAGTCTGGACCAGGTCTAAATAAAAATATTTAAAAATATATCAGAGTTAGGGGGCTATAGGAACAAAATGTTTCACTTACAAATTTGAGCATTCACAAGATGAAAATCTATTATTATGTTTTACTTCATTTGAATCATTTAATTTTTGTAGCTGATAGTTTTTGTGTTTTGAGTCTGAAGCTCTTAAAATGATGCATTTTATAGATATATATTCAGACTCGGTTCCTCTGGGAAAGATAAGTTTAAAAGACTTTATAAAACACGCACAGAAATCATAGGCCTGGACTTTTTACAAAAGCTTTTTAATACTGACTAGTATGAAAAAAACAGCATGTCATCATAGTAAAAGAACTATGGGGTCACTTTTTGTCTTATTAATATTCACAAATACACAGAGATTGATCTACACATCTATTTTGATCTTTACAAATAGATCTGTATTTGTAAATATCTTTTCTTCATTTGAAAAAATGAAACTGAAAACTGAAAACTGAAAACTGAAAATTTTACTAAATTGGTGGATCACCAATTACACAGATTTCCTCTGACACATTTTTAAGACACTCCTTTGAGAAATCCACAAACACACGCAGATGCACAAATACACAGGCGTCCACTAGAGGGCAGTGTTGTTATTGGCGTTAAGTTGCAGTTTTTCTCCGTTGGTTTGGCTCATTTCTTGAAACAGAAATGACTTTCTTAAAACTATAAGATCCTTCTCGGTTGCTTTTGCTCATTTGCATTCACTTTGTGCTTTTGTCAAAATAACCTGGATGGTTCAACACAACACCATGGATCATCTGCAAAAGTTCAGATCTCTCCCAAAACACTTTACCCAGGTGTCCCGGTTTGTGTTCTAGTTTAGTCCTGGTTTAGTCCTGGTTTAGACCTGGTTTAGTCCTGGTTTAGTCCTTGTTTAGACCTGGTTTAGTCCTGGTTTAGACCTGGTTTAGTCCTGGTTTAGACCTGGTTTAGTCCTGGTTTAGTCCTGGTTTAGACCTGGTTTAGTCCTGGTTTAGACCTGGTTTAGTCCTTGTTTAGACCTGGTTTAGACCTGGTTTAGTCCTGGTTTAGTCCTGTTTTAGACCTGGTTTAGTCCTTGTTTAGACCTGGTTTAGTCCTGGTTTAGTCCTTGTTTAGACCTGGTTTAGACCTGGTTTAATCCTGATTTAGTCCTTGTTTAGACCTGGTTTAGACCTGGTTTAGTCCTGGTTTAGTCCTGGTTTAGACCTGGTTTAGACCTGGTTTAGTCCTGATTTAGTCCTTGTTTAGACCTGGTTTAGACCTGGTTTAGACCTGGTTTAGTCCTGGTTTAGTCCTTTTTTAGACCTGTTTTTTGTTTTTTTAATATATGTTTATTCATTTCATTAGAGATATTAAGTGTCCATTTAGCTATTTACCCAAGTAGACATCCATATATCACACATTTTATACATACATATATATACATACACACCTACACATACATACATATATACATACATACATACATACATATACATACATACATACATACATACTCTGTATTCATTTACCTTATGTTCATAACAATACTCCTTATTTGTTTATTGGTTTATATACGTGTGTGGACGCATGCACCCACCCACACACGCACACATATACATACATATACACATTTAAATCCGTGCACCTATATACATATAGGCACATATCCATACATATACATATATTTCATTAAATTTTTTTTTTTAACACTTCATATTATAAAGGCAGAGCCTAATATTATATCTATTTATATTCTCCTTGTGTGTGTATATATACATACATACACACACACATATATGTATACATATACACATACATACACACATATACACACACTTATATATATATATATATATATATATATATATATATATATATATATATATATATATATATATATATATATATATATATATACAATATATATACATATATATATATATATACATATATATATACACACATACACACATATACACATATACATATTATATATATATATATATATATACACACATACACACATACACACATATACATATATAATATATACACACATACACACATATACATATATATACACATACACATACATACATACACACACATACACACACACATATATATATATATATATATATATATATATACATATATACACATACATACTTATATCTACACTCATATTTTTCCCTTTAATCCCTTCCCCCAATTAATAACCCCTCACCAAACTAAATAAATAAAAATCACATTATGAATGAAGAAACACACACATACACATTCATACATATTCACTCACTCACATACACCCATGCACACATCAAAGGTAGGATATACATTATCTTGTTTCTTGTTTTACCGGTGCCCAGAACTCCTCAAATTCCTTCATTTTAAATCGCAGTCTTGCTGTTACTCTTTCCATTTCCATCACATCTTTAACCCTTTCCCACCACTTTTCTTTAGTAGGAGGTTGTGGTTTTAGCCAGGACACAGTTATCTTTTTTTTTGCTATTGTACTTAATATTAAAATATTTTTTCTATTTTTTGAAGATATATAGTGGTTGGTACAATACTCAATATAAATAATTGAAGATCTAAACTTAGTTTTTTCTTTACAAATACTTTAAATCTTT